ACCCTTTAAGAACATTCTCATAACTTCCAGGAGAAATGCATCCTCATTTTCCTTACTACTTCAGCTGCTCAGCCCTGAACATCCACTGATATTTGTCCCTATCTCTCTAGAGCTGCCTTTTCTGGGTGTTTCATAGAAGTGGAATCTCTTTTGTTTTTATGGCTCATCCATGTTGTAGCATTTGCTTTATTTCTTTTCATGCACAAATAATGTGGGCTCCATGGTTCTAACATTTTGTGATGCATCCATTAAGGGATTGCTGTTTGTTTCTAGCTCTTTTGGCTGTGGCACCTGATGCTGTTAGAATCTCTCTGCATGAGGTTTTGTTGTGATGTGTCTTTCATTTCCCTGGGGTATAGTTAAGTAGAGTTGTTGGGTCCTATGGTAACTCAGACATGACTCACTTAGAGAACTTCTGGACTGCTTTCCAATGATTGGAGCACTTACAGTTCAACTGGAAGTTTGTAAGGGCTCCAGTTTCTCCACATTCTCATCAGTTCTTGCTATTTATCTGTCACTTGGTTTATCATAACCCTCTCAGTGGGTAAAGATGAGCTCTCCTTAAGATTTGGACTAGTGTGGCCTTCATGACTGCTGATGGCAGGCTTCCTTGTGTCTCTTGGTGACTTATCTATATTTGGACTTGGGTTGCCCTCATGACTACTGATGGCAGACCTCCTTGTGTCTCTTGATGACTTACCTACCTGGTTTTGAGGCAATGTTTATTCAAGCCTCATCCTTTTTCTATTTTTCAAATTTATTGCCTTTTGGTTGTTGTGTTCTTGGAGGATTTTAAACAGTGGATATTACACCCTTACAAGATACATTTTTTCTCAAATATTTTCTCTAATTCTACAGAGAATTTTTACTTTTTACAGTGTCTTCCAATGCATAGTTTAAAAATATTACAAGATATAAATGATTGTTTTCTTGTGTACCCTATGATTTTGATGTCTTATCTAAGATAATTATCAATGTGAAGTTTTGAGGATTTGCCACTATTATTTCTCCTTAGCACTCTATCCTTTAGCTGTAACATTTGGGTCTTTGATTCATGTTGTTTTATATATAGTGTGAGGAGTAGGTCCAACATCTTCTTCTGCTTGTTGATGCTCAGTTGTTGTAACTGTTTATTTGATAGACTATTCTGTCTTTTATAAAGCTTCTTGATACCCTCATCAAAAGTCAGTTAACAGCAGCTCTACGAGTTTATTTCTAGATGCTCAATTCTATTCCACTGGCCAGTCATCATGCCACTGTTTGTAGTATATGCTGAAATCAGGGGTTGGGCCCCTCCAATTTGGTTTCTAGTTGCTTTTTATATGCTTGATATAACATTTTATGTTTCATGCAATTACATGTGAAATTCGATAGGAATGTTTATAATCTGTATAATGTTTAAGGGTTTTGTTATTTTAATATTATCTTCCAATCCATGAACATGGGATATCTTTCTATTTATTTAGAGTTTATTCCTATTTTTTGTAATGTTGTAGCTTTCACAGCCTTTGAACTCCTTGAATAAATTTCTTCTTAAGCATTTTATTATTGTCAATGTTGTTAAAAGTAGAGTTTCTTAAGTTTTTCTTGGTCACATAGGGAAAAGTTTGGGTTTCTTGCATGTTGTTTTTGTACTCTGAAATCTTACTGAACTCTTATTACCTATGACCATTTAAGTGGGTTCCTTGGGGTTTTCTTTTATACAATGCCAGGCCGCTTGTGAGTGGAGATAATCTTCTTTCTTTTCCAATATGAATATCTTTTATTTCTTTCTAACTGACTAGAACTTCCAACACAATTTAAGATAGAAGCTATGAAAATTAACCTTTTTTAATCCTGATCACATGGAGAAAGCATCTGATCTTTTTTCCTAAAATATGAATTAACTGTTGAATTTTTCCAGTATGCTCCTTATTTAGTTTTTGTTCTCATTTGACAGTTTCACCCATTTATACATAATGAGTTTTAGTCACTTTTACTCCCTTCTTATCCTTTCTCTGTCCCTCTGAATCCCTTTGTTTCAGTAAGTCTCCTTTCTACTTTCCCATGCTCATCTTGTATGTGGTCCACTGAGTTTAATTAGCGATTTTTGCACGATCGTGGGTGGTAGGATGCTTACAGGGGCAAGGAAACTTGCCAGTGGCCACACCACTGAAGAAAAATAGCCTTTCCAGAAGCTTTTAGTTGCCAACAGTTCCTCAAGCGGGGGTGGGCCCCCCTGGCTCTTCCCCTATTCATGATGAAATAGTAGTTGGCCCAATTTTGTGCAGGTCTTGGGAGATGACTACAACTGTAGTTAATAAGTGCATTGGCCATGGCATATCCAGAAGGCCTCTTATGGGGTGCATTTCCCCATCTTCTGGCTTATGCTTTTCCTGCCCTTCCTTATGTAATATTCCCCGAGCCTTGGAGAGGGTGTTAAAGCCATTCCAGTTGGGGTCGATCACTCTACTGTCATTTAATCTGTGCACTTTGGCCAGTTAGATCTTCTAGTGACTACTTATCCAGTCAAAAACAGATTCTTTTGCATTTATCTTGAAAACTATTTCATTTTGAAAGAAAGAAAATGTCCCTCATTTCTCTAGATTTGGGCAGGGAGTATTCAGTGGTTCAGCCAATGGGGTTGTGAATGTTTGCCGTCTACTTACCTGCTGTTAGCATAATGACCCAGCCATTGGTCTAGAATGGTAATTGGAGCACAAAGGTACTTGTCAGTTCTCTGTCCAGGTCTCCCTCATTTAATGTGGTAGACAGGACTGGATGGGATCTCTGACCATAGGGAAAACATTGGGAAATGTTTGTGTGTCTTTGATCAATGTAACAAGTTTCCAGGATGTAGTTCACAGGACCTTCACTGTGTTCTTACTTAGTCTAGAAGAGCATTTCTCAATGTGTGAGTCATAACCCCTTTGGGGTCAAATGTCCCTTTCACAAGGGTCACATCAGATATCCTACATATCTTATGATTCATAACAGTAACAAAATTACAGTCATGAAGTGGCAGCAAGAATAATTTGATGGTCACTACAGCATGAGGAACTGTATTAAAGGGTCACAGAATTAGCAAGGTTGAGAACCACTGCTCTGGAGGGAACTTGGGCAATGAGGCTGACTGAGAGATGAGAGGTTCCAGGATGAAGGGCAATAATGGCCTTCCACCTTCTAGGACAAAAATAAACAGGAAAGAGAACAATCAAAGGATGTTTGGATATGAGAGTGACTGTCGCCCACCATCCACAACAGTCCTTTCCCTCATGTCTCTGGGTTCAGGTCAAACATATTTACCAGCACGTCCTGGACCCTGAGTTTCTTCTCAGTCCCTCGGGTATTGAGAATCAGGGATCCCATAGCTGCTCTGCTATTCCGATTTATAGGTGATAATTAACACTGCGACCAAAAATGTTTTATCACTTTCAAAGGTGCTGACTTCACCTTTCAAACTTCTGGAAGGTGAACTCAGCATGAAACCTCAGCACGACTTGAGCCCCCTTAGCCATCCCACACTCCCTTGGGTGTCCGCAGGTCTGCTTGTCTACCCCAGGGAACAGCTGAACTCTTGAGCATCAATTCTCAGCAGGGTGGCCTGTGTATAACTTTCCCAGCATTCTTTGCAGTCGGAATCCTATGTGCTCTTTGGTTGGGTGTTTCTATAAGGGACATGAAAACTGGGCCCTCCCCCAGCATCTTCTTAACTTAGAAGCCCATGTAGAATTCTTGGCTTATACACTTGACCTTAACAACCATTCTGATTTTAATGTCTTTAAACACCGACGCCCAGGGATGACACAGAGCTAGTGACAGAATAGGATGAGGACCCAACCATGTCTGTTTTGTTCCCCGTTATGCACTGCCAGGTAAACTCAAGGAAGTCACAAGTAGGAATGCATCTGTCGCCTGGTGTGGTGGCATGAGCCTTTAATCCCAGCACTCAGGAGGCAGAGGCAGGCAGATCCCTATGAGTTCAGGTTCGGCCTGATCTACAGACTGAGTTCTAGGACAGGCTCCAAAGCTACACAGAGAAACCCTGTCTCAAAAAACCAAAAACCAAAACCAAACAAACAAACAAACAAAAAAGGATGCACCTGTCCTTTCTAGCCCACCCCAGAGGTACATAAATGACCCAAAGCCACATCCAAGATTGGGTTTGTTTTTATTTGGATGCCTTGACTCTCCTCATGCAAGAAAATGGAACATACCACCTTTAACTGATATTTTCTCAAATTGGGCCGGGTAACAAATGTCATTTTAAGGTCTTTTCTTAGATATTCTATTAATTTTTAAAGCCGCCATTGCCTTCTTCCGGACGTTCCATGAGGGAGAGAAATGGACATGTAAGGGGAAAAGTTCTTTACATCAGCTATATTCACCTCAGACAGCTGAGGTTATTTGCAAAAACCATGACAGACACATCAGGACACACAGCTCATAGATTTATCCAGCTGTTATCCTGGCGATGACTTCTGGGTCCAGCCATTATCACAGTCTATAATAAATTGTTGCGTGTGTGGCATGCAAGATTCTCTTGGCATCTAATTCCAGACAGAAAGAAGTTGTGCCATTTGTGGGTGGCCTCCTATCATATGGATGACAGGCTCTCAGTGGTCACCCTCCTTTGGGTAGCAGCCCAGGCATGCTGCCTTTTATTGTGTCCCTAGTGTCAGGGTTGACAGTTTTTAAACTTACAGAGGCAAGGCAGTATTTGCATATCTACTAACACCAGTGTTTCAGGCATTAGCCTTTTAAGAAGAATCCTCTGAATTGTTTTTATTTATTTTTTTTTCCTTTTCTTAGAGTCAGGATCCCATAGTGGAACCAGGCAGGAGAGAAAAGAACAGAATAATTGGAGGCTGTTGTCTTTTCTCTTCCCACAGAAAATTATTTGAAGAGACAGGCCAGAACTTTACATGGGAGACACCAAGAAAAGTTGTACTTTGGATGTTAGCTGTGGTGACTATGGGTTGTTTGCTTAAGAATGCTTCTCCTGTACCTTCTTTCCACAGACATACTTCAATGACAATATCCTCACCCTGATCCGGACCCTGGTGACAGGAGGAGCCACGCCAGAGCTTGAGGCTCTGATTGCTGAGGAGAATGCACTTCGAGGGGGCTACAGCACTCCCCAGACACTGGCCAACAGGGACCGTTGCCGCGTGGCTCAGTTAGCCCTGTTGGATGGGCCCTTTGCAGACTTAGGGGTGAGTGTACCACGCAGACGATTCCTGAGCACAGTGTTGGTAGCAAGCCTGATATGAATAAACTGTGTCAAACGGTGACATCTAGGCATCTATTTTTCTCTCATCCAGTCTATTTACTATTTACTAAATAGACTATTACTTTATTTAGTAGTAGCCTAAAAACATGGAATTTATGGGGCCCTATTTACCAGGCCCCATACTTTATTCATGCAAATCCTTCTACCAAATTGTTGATGTCTTTCTCCCAGGCAACTGAGGCATAGGGAATTTGCACTAAGGCATACTGGCTTTGGAACTATGGGTCTCTCCTCCATTGCTGCCTTCCTCAAGTATTTTCTTCCCAGAGATGAAAGGGGTAGCTGCCAACACATAGCTAAGTTTAGGAAACATTTTCTCGGGGGCCTTATATCTTGGAGATACTCCACTTCGACTCTATCTGAACATGAGGATGCTAGGCCCCAAACTCTGCTACCAGAGTTTTTGTATCTATATACTGTTAACACAAAGTTACAGCTCACATCTTAAAAGGGAATACGAGATAGTGTATTCTGGAGCACTTTTGAGGGATCATGACTCAGGAACACAGATTTAGTTTGTGCTGAATTCCTTGTTCCCACCCGGAAGTATTTTCATGAAGTTGTATAGTTTTACTCAACAAAGAAAGTTGTAAATCAAGGCAACTTTAAAATACATTGGTGGGTCCATCAGAGGCAGATACAAGAAGATGGCAGAAGCTTTCCGATAGCCCAAGAAGTTCTCTGATGATATTCATAGCTTTGGGGTTAGTGGAAGCTAGTGGTCTGCTGAGTTAATCAATTCCAAAAGGTTTCTATTAGCTACAAGATGTTAGTTCTGACGGAGAGGTGGGCAGGGGATGGCTGTTCTAGAGGGGTAGAACTAGCCCAAGATAAGGTCATTAGCTTCTGGACCTGCAGCTTTCTAATCTTGCCATAGTACTGCAGTTCTCATCATCAGTATCTATCTATATAGCTTCTTTTCATCCAAGCTCAGTTGGTTTGAAGCATCAAGGCTGATGTGTGTGTGTGTGCAAAATCGCTGGCCAGAATGACAGGATCTCAGTTAGTACCTTTCTGTGCCTTGAGGTCTCTAATTCAAAACTTTGGTCTGGGGATTTCTGAGTCTGGATCCACTCACACTTCCCTAGGCCTCCTTTAATGAGGGGGACCAGAGCTTCCCTTTGGGGTCTCTGGACTCATTGCTCTGTACTCTGTACTGTGTCAGACACTTTGGAAAAGGTATGTCATTTTGACCGTTATTCCAAATTCACCTGCATAGATGTGTTTAAGGGGTGGAACCATGAGCCTTGGGGATGCACATACCTATTGCACACGAATAATAATATTGCCCAGAATGTCCCATCATGGAAAAGGTCTTGTTTTGTAACACATCAAATGGCTACTTGTGGACCAGGACCTATATTTGACTGGAGCTGTTTTGAAAGTCAGCTTCCATAATCAGTGACTCTTATCCTTATTACTTCCTTGCTAATACACTTGAATCAGATTAATATTTTCAATAATGGACAAATATGGGACCATTTGTTGTCTAATATGCCCATTGTGGGAATTCCAGTGATAGTAAAGACAAATACATTCCTGCGGTTCCTAATAAATCTACTCAGCCGTGTTGTTCTGTATAATACAGTCTGCTTGGAGACACATATCTGCATGAAGCCCAGAATTTTCTCTGCATTTGCAAACAATCGTGTTGTTTCACCTGCTGAGTTAAGTCCCAGAACTTAGGGTGGTTGTGAACTGATTAGTACAGTGAGTCCCAGGTATCTCCCCTGCAGACTCCCAAATGCTCTTCCCCTTAGACATCTCTGAGGTCTGCAAATTGCGCTTTTCACACTGTCCTTATCTGAAAGATAAGGGTCACCATAGGGCTTGAGGGGGGGGCCTTTTATTCTTGCAGTGATTTTCATTATCACTTGGGCAGTTTTGACAACACAGTCCCATCACAGTGGACACAGCTGAGCTGGGAGGGGGTGTGATAGAATCCTTGCTTTGCAGAGTTCCTTTCTTCCCTCTAGCTGTACAACTGAGACCTTCTGTGTCACATCCCTACTTCAGGCGAAGGAAGACAGAGCCAGTTGGAGCTATAGACACAACTGTGTGGACACGGGAGGAAGCCCTGTGGTTGTCAGGGCTAAAGTCAAACATACTGGGTCCAGGCTGTTAGCCCTGCTGATGTCCTCAGCCACAGTCTCTTGGCATAGATCCTCCAACCCCAGAGACAAGAAAACAAGCTTTTAAGAAAAGCCCCCCCCACACACACACACACTTTGATTCCCAGGCAAATAAAAACTGATGTTTCTCTTGGTTCCTTTGTTGTCTCCCAGGATGGTGGTTGTTATGGTGATCTGTTCTGCAAAGCTCTGAAAACGTATAATATGCTTTGTTTTGGAATTTACCGGCTGAGAGATGCCCACCTCAGCACCCCCAGCCAGTGTACAAAAAGGTGAGTGTGCCTTCCCTACTCTGCCATCTCATCCGAAGGCAATGGCATCGATGCCCTCCCTTGTATCCTGTAGGCACAGGTCTCTGTGCATGCTTTCGACACACGCCCACATGAAATCTGACACTGAGCCGAGGAGTTATGAGAATGATTTCTTTTCTAAAAATTACTAAAAATGAATGTGAAGCCATTGAGGGAAGAATTTGTGTTTTGGAAAGTAGCACCTTGACCCCGTTACAAAAGTCAGAATCCCAAGCTTTGTTTCCTCCAATCACTTCCTTGGTCCCTAATGTGGAGATGCTTCACATTGATGATATTTTTTGCTTCATATAGTTTGTATTGACTCACTTTCTTTTGTATATTTAATTTTAAGAAACTTTTATATTGTCACCTTAAACAAAACTATATGACAGTTTGGGGATGCTAGTTGTGTTTTTCCTTACAGCCTTAATATAAACTCATAGCAGACAAACATTAATCCTAGAATTACCCAAATCCAGGAGTTTGTGCCAGAGAGTAAAAATACTCTCAGATCTGTATATTACAATCGTTAAGAGGATTAAAAAATATATGTACTGGGAGCTGGAGAGATGGTTCAGCAGTTAAAAAGCACTGTCTGTTCTCCCAAAGGACCCAGGTTCAATTCTCAGCACCACATGGTAACTCACAACTGTCTGTAACTCTAGTTCCAGAGGATCTAACACCCACACACAGACATACACGCAGGCAAAACACCAACGCACACAAAATAAAAATAAATTATTTAAAAAATACTGTGATTAGAGTAATTTCCATAGTGTTTAGGAAAAAAATACATATACTTTTAAAAAATTATATGACAATGTTTATATAATACTTAATAGCTGAAAATTACAGTACATGGCTAGAGTTAAAAATTGTTACAGACAAATGCCTAGTGTGGTGGTCTGCACTCCTTTAATCCCAGCAGAGGCAGAGGCAGGCAAATCTCAAGGTCAGCCTGATCTACAGAGCAAGTTCCAGGATGGCCAGGGCTACACAGAGAAACCCTGTCTCAAAAACAAAACAAAACAAAACAAAACAAACAAAAACAAAATGTGAAGACTAATGTGTTCCTACATGGCAGTGATTATGACATTCACCTACAGAGCTTCTCAAGGCCAAATTACTGAGCCCCACCTGAGGCTTGTCAGTCAGTAGATCAGGGGGAGGTTACTTAAACTTTTCCCTTTTGTTTTTAGTTGGTTCATTTTCCTTCCTCCCTTCCTTTCTTCCGTCTTTTCAGTGCTACCGATTACATCCAGGGCCTCTTGCATGCAAGGCAAGTGTTCTGCCATTGAGCTCTCTCCCAGGTCTTCAATCTGCATTTTTTTCCTAGTCTCCTGGGAACCTCAGACCCATTGTTGCAGAGGCAACATGGTGATCACTGAAGCCATCTAGAGAAAGCTTGATCTAATAGGGAGAAATCGGGTCAAGCTCTTGTAACCAGGGCACTGTTGTTGATGAGGTATTAGGCATGACGAACAGAGACCCTGTGGTGTGTGTCTATGACGGTCAGGGCATTTTGGTATGGAAGTGACAGCGCAGTTGGGTGACTGTCATGAGCTTGACCTGTGTACAGAAAAATGCATATGGTTCACATGAATTACGATGTGGCATTTTCATTACCAGCGCCAACTTGGCATCTTTGCCTGGGCTTCTGGCTGCCTTGTTGAGCTAAACATGATGGTTTCCTTTCATTTGGAAGAGAATGCGAGGCTACTGGATGGAGTACATCAACCAGGTCCTCAGACAGACTGAAGCAGCCAGGCAATTAGTTCTTTTTGGCTCAGGGAGAGTTGAGTCCTGCGCCTGCTCCACCTGTGACCAGCCTGTGACACCTTTGCTTGCTCTGTCTAGGTATGTCATCACCAATCCCCCCTACGAGTTCGAGCTCGTCCCGACAGACCTGATCTTCTGTCTGATGCAGTTTGACCACAACGCTGGCCAGTCCCGGGCCAGCCTGTCTCATTCCTCCCACTCCTCCCAGTCCTCCAGTAAGAAGAGCTCCTCTGTCCACTCCATCCCGTCTACAGCAAATCGGCCGAACCGGCCCAAGTCCAGGGAGTCTCGCGACAAACAGAAGTACGTTCAGGAAGAGCGGCTTTGATATGTGTATCCACCGGCACCGTGTGTGAAACCGTATCTGCTTCTCATTTCCCCAGTTGGTATTCCAACAGAGTAACTCTCCTGTTCCCTGTAGTCTCCTCTTTTTTTTTTTCTTTCTTTCTTTCCTTTTTTTTTTTTTTACACATTTTGCATATGTATGATAGTGTGCATGTGGCTGTCATTTTTATTTCACCACCATAAAACCCTGGAACACAACAGCAAATAAGCGGACGGACCAAAAGTTATTTATGAATCTAGGGGGGAAATACACCAAAGGCATCCTCCAGACATAAATAGCTCACTTCAGGAATGAGTTCACAGATTAGAAGGGAGCACCTGTGATCTGTGTCAGTTAGGCAAAGCAGGTTGTTTTTTTTTTTTTTTTTTTTTTTCCTTTTCTGATTTATCCAGATCATCAGAATGCTTTGGGTTTTGATTTTTTTTGTTTTGTTTTGTTTTGTTATTTCTTTTTTCTCTCTTTTTATACACACACACAGTAAGTTAGCACATGATCATTCAAAACGAGCAACCAAACGCAATGAAAATGCATTGATCGTTTCCAGTCTGGGCTGAAGTAAAGCAAAACATTTGAAAAGCTTTCAAAGTGTGCACAGAAGATGATTAAGTACCTGCTTGTTTCGAGAAAGCATCAGAGATTTTTTTTTTTTTTTTTTTTTTTTTACTTATTCACCAAAGCCTTTTTGTCTCAGAGCTAGCTTCTTTCCAGTGAAGGTTTCTAACTTTAATGCAAAGAGATAACCAGGTTTCCACTCCTGGATGTATCAAATCCTAGTCATTTCATTGACCTGAAAAGGGGTTTGGTTGCATATTAAATTGTTATTCTGTCTCCTTGTGCTGCCGTAGGGATCGCCAGTTTTTTTTCTTTCACTTTTGACATTTGGGATGAAAAGCCATATGTATCATAAATATCAGATGTAAGTCATTAAGAACTGCCTTCCTGGGACTTTTACATCTTTTAAAAGGTGAATCACTTACCTTATGTACAGAATAAATAACGCTCAGAAAAGAGCAAGTATTTTTCCATGCATTCTCAGGGGACCTTTTTACTCCCCTTTGTTTGACTAACGAGGGCCCCTAGGCCAGGTAGAATTCGGGCTGGGGCAGTGGCGAGTGAGAGGGAGAAAGACCCAGTGGCAGATAACAGTTTTTGTAGGCGCTGGCAATGCTAGATAAATCAGGATGGAGGAGGATAGAACCGCAGTTGGTTAACTCAACAAAGACAAAAGCTAGCGACCACATTGAAATTGCTGGCACAGCTGTATGATGCTCTGTCGCAAAGCAGAGGCTGGCAGGAGAAGTTCAGCACAGGCAAGCTCCTTAACATACAGCCAGTTCACATAGGTGAGCGAGTGACGGGAGAGCGAGCTTCTCCGTGTCCTGTCAAGATGCGAAGGAGAAGGCTGCCACAGGGAGCCAAGCACATTTCAGTAGTTATTTTTTGTCTTTTGTTTTCTTCCTTCTTTCTTTCTTTCCTTTTTAACTGTTAGTCAACAAGGGAGGGAAGGTAGACTGATCTCTTTTTCCCAATTTGCAATTATCAGATGTTTTATGCATGCACATTACATTTTAGGGACATAGGAGTTCTGAGGAATTGGCCAACTTTACCATCACCAAATTCTGGTATGGGTAGACTAGCCTTGGGTGCATACGAACCTATTTGAGATGTTTACTTAGAAAGCCAATGGATAGAATAAGGGGTAGGAAGGAGGGGGGGAAATTTGTCACAGCTGTAGCATCTCTTTTTAAAAAGGTGTTTTTATGGTGATTGTTTTGGGTTTAGATTTTGAATCCCCTGTCCCCTCCGGCATGATGGTTTTGGAGATTTGCTTGCTGTGTGATTGACAAGCACTTTTACTGACAAATATAGTGAGGCTCGGTCAGAACCTCTACCTCTTCCCACACCAAAGACAGGGGCAGTGCAGTACTCCAACCAGCAATGGGTGGGGAGTCATTGTATACGTGTAAATTCAAAAGTCCTGTGAGTGGAAGTATTTTTTTTTCAAATTATTTTTGTCCTTATGTATTTTGATTTATATATGACATGTATCTATCTCTTTATATATAACTATATATATATAAGACTATATATATAACTATATATACATATCCCCTAGTTTTGGATCATGAGAGATCTTCATGCATTTCTTTGCAAAGGAGGTTATGAAGTTATGCCCTCAGAAACATTTATAACTATAAGAATGTGCCAGTTAAAGTGCTCGACAGGAGATATGACAGTTTCAAAGCATTGTAAAACTCACATAGCTTACTTCTCTCTCTAAAGTGCAACAAGGATGACTAGAATGGGCCAAGGTATGACAATTAATGGTTCTGCATGACCTAGCCACTGCTGGGGGTTTTCTTCTATAACGTTGTCCTTGTGAAACTTTTGTGGAATTAAAAAAAAAAAAAGGAGTTACAAATTTTATTCTGTTATTGGTTTGTTTATTTTTATTTCTATTGTTCTGTTTGTGGTTCCATTTATTTTGTTTTGCTTCTCCCCCCTCCCCTCGCCTTCCCTTCCCCCCCTACCTTTCTCCCTTCCTTCTTCTTTTTCTTCCTCCACTTTCTCAATTGCTCAGCGCAATGAGGCCGTGCTGCTGCTATGGCTAGACCCCTTAGAGTTTGTTTTGGTGTTCTTGGGTTTGGGGGGTTGGGGAGTCTGGGGGTAACTTCTCTCCATCCAGCTTGCCTTCAAATCTGCACGTGGCCTCCCTGCCCACCTTGGTACCTTGCCCCAAGTCCAAAAGCATTTTCCCATTGAGAAACCCAGCTTCCTCCACTTCCCCCATCACCACCACCACCACCGCCCAAAACCAGCCCCCATCGGTCTGTTCACATCTCTGTGTTGATCTTGGCAAGACCTACCAAATCGAGCAATGATGCCAGTTGGTAACTGTTTCTGTAAAGCATTCACAGCTATTCCATTTGGCGAATGTGCTTCTCTGTCAATGGTTGAGCCTCCTTTCAGCTGTAGTAGGAGGGTTATTAATGGCAAATGCATTGGTCTGTTTTCCTGTTTGATCCCTATGAACCCAAGTCAAAGCTGTTGAGCTGTATGAATCACCTTGAGAGTGCATGTCCAGTGATGAAGGGGCTGGGGACTCAGTCTGGACAGTACTCATGTGTCTCCTGCCACCTGCCTTTCAGATGTTTGTTAAATCCCAACCATGAATGGGGCAGACAGAAGTAAATCCAAAGTGTCTTTTTAATGCACTTAGTTAGTGGCTCCAGTAGATGAGACTGGAATTGACTGGAATGGGCACAGACTGTGACATGAGATGAAATTCGGGGGTTTTCCCTGGACTTTGGGCACACACTCCCCACTGGGGAATTGTAGATCATTGAGAACTGATCAGAGATGACTATGGATCTATCTGATGGTGGCAAAGGGATCATGTTGAGTTCTCTCTTAAGAGCTGAAACTTCTATATTATACTTTCTTAATCGAGTCAAGACTCTCCTCCATCATTTGCCATCTGCCTCCAAAGTTCCTCTTTCAGAACAGATGCTCTCTTAGGAAGGAGGCAGATGACTTCTTCTTCATAGTCACTTCCTTAATTCCCCCTCACCCAGACTAGAAACAGACATGAAATGTTAGAAAGTGAGAGAACACTGTGAAGAGAAAATGCACGCGTTTAGTAAGAATCAGTTTGGAACTCGGAAATCTTCCCAGTTGTGGAAGAGTAGCAGTTTTTGAACTATTTAGTCCAATTTTCTCAGGCTTTGGAGAGGGACAATGTTAAGTGAGTTGGTAAAGTAGGAGAGAAATCTTTTCAGCACCAGCTGTTTCCTAACTGTGGACCTGTCAGCATCCCTAGCAGCTGCTCCAGAGGTCCTTCTCAAATCTAGTTCAAATGGACCCTTGCACTTTCCAGTTTTCACTGTATTTTGGAGACCTTTCAAATTCCTTTCTGAAGTTAGGGCTTACTAACTCAGAGTATTAAAGTGAGTATACACAATATATATTTGAAAAGACTCTCACCTTAATCATTTTCACACTTTTAAACTGTTTTATAATTTATCCACATCCCCTTGGTTTATTTTTGGAAAAGTGGCAATTAATGCCTGAGGTGTTGACATGGCTGATTTCCTGGTGTCAGGCTATTGGAGCCGGATTCTGCTTCCAAGCCAGGGGACAAGCCCTGTGAGCTTAGTGGCTAGAGAGACTGCCTATGCCTGTTGGCAGCATTATGGAGATCCTAGGTGACCAGAGGAACCTTTGACTGACTTTCCTTCAGCACGGGGAATGCCTTAAAGGTGTCTGTATCCCAATAGAGATAATTATATCAACCTTCCAGGTTCCTATAGCAACAGGCTCCTCAAAGAACAAGAAAGTACAGAAACTTCAGGGAATGGAAGATAAGACAGGGTACAAATCAATTTCTCCACCAGCTTCCATCAGCCAATGCCTGCTTTGTCGTAATATGATAAGGAAGTAGCTCTGGGCACCTGTCACTAAGCTGGTTAAGTATCTCCCATAAGGAGGCTGCACATGGCAGTGAGCGAGAGAAACTCCTGCTACCTAAGAGGAAAGAGTATCCTCAGGGTTGGGCTGGATGCAAGGATGCAGAGACAGACCATCATCGTGGTCCATTATAGGAGAGTGAGATCAAAGAAAACTTGTCTGGGTCTGGTAGAAACCATGCTTGTGTCTATAGAATGGCTGTGATCTGCTGAGGCAGAAGAAGAGGGGAGGCAGGATGCATAGTTCTGCCTGGGAGGCATCAGGGTTTTGTGAGCAGAGGAAGAACAGCACACTGCCTATCAGAAATGTAATCCAGGAAACCACACAGAGTTGCCCTCCTAGGCTGGAGCTCCTTGGAGCCATTGCCGTCTCATTGTCCTTACCACCCAAATGGGATCTTTCCCAGACATGCCTTTGCTCTCAAAGCCTCAGCTTGTGGTGCTACAGAGAGCCTATTGTTCCAAGTGCCTTCAGTGTGTCATCCATGCCCCTGTCCTGCAGTCTTCTTGGGGGAGTAGTTACGTGAGAAGGCTGAAGCCCCCAGCACTGAAAACCCACGGAGTCAGCAAGAGCTCTGTGTTCACAGTGTAACTGTTTCTCCCTCTGCTTGTGGAGCTTTGGGTAGCTCAGCCATTCCTAACCATAGTAACTCTCCTCCAGGAAGAAGCTCAAACCCTTGTTCTAAACTCCATCATTTTCTTATACTAGTGATGGAAGGCACAGACAGTTCTCCAAGGGGCAGAACATTCATCAAGTGAAAACTGTTGTCAGAAACAAAGATCCACTGCATGACAGCCCTGACTTCCCCAACATAACACCGTATTAGCCCTTCCTCTCATTCACCTTCCAGATGAAGACTACCCATAAGATCCTCCCGGGTCATCTCTATACCCCAATCTACATTCTTCAGGCAAGCCCCCAATTTATAGGTCTCTGCCTCTGGCTCCTCCATGGAAGAACTTTATTTGTAAACACAACATGCAGAAGGTACCACTGACTTCTGTATCCTACTCATATCAACGCTAGCTTTAAAGTTAACGCTTAGACAGTCATTATGGCTCTTCTGTTCAGCATGTCACAATTGTAAACACATCTGACTATCCTGCTGTCACCAGATGTAGGGGATACTAGCATCTCCATACGACCCACATGGAATCTGAAGAACATCAACGTCAGTGTAGTTTAGTCACCACAATACAGTGTCCCTTTCATGTGATAACATTAACAAACTTAGCAAAGATTATTTGTTTACCATGTAACTGGATGTGTAGTAAGCCAGTGGTACCTGTTCCATTGACCTAAGACAACCAGATTAGAAAGGCTATTTCCTCAGCCCTATTCTATAGGATAGGAATAACAACAAGATACTCTACATAACCTTTTCAGAGCAGATAGCATGTGAGAGATCCAGGTACACTCAAGTCTAGACCACAAGATGCTGCCATTTTTCTGGCCTCCGCATGGTGTGTCCATAGTGTACATAATGGCTTAGTTGGTCTACAACATGACACTCTCAATAATGTAGCAGTTGGGTGGTTATGGCTAACACTTTTAATCCTAGCATTTGAGAGGCAGAGGCAGGTGGATCTCTATGAGTTTGAGGCCAGGCTGGTCTACAAACCAAGTTTTATGACAGCCAAGGCTATACAGAGAAACCCTGTCTCAAAAAAAAAAAAAAATTACCAGCAGTTATTTTCTCAATTTTATTTTGTGATACCAGCCTGCTCACTAAAGCTAGTGGCTAGTGACATGTCATCCCCTTCCTAACTCTAACTACCTTATGACAAAAATTCCTGACAGGTCACACAGTGTTCTCAGAATAGATATATATATATATATATATATATATATATATATATATATATATATATATATCCCACAAGAAGTTTATCAACACAAGTTTTTTATTTATTTTATTTGTGGGGGAGGTCTGGCACCAAAAAGGCCCTCACAGACCACAGAATTCCACATCTTAGGTATGAAATAAGGCCACATAGAACACGGAAGTAAGCCCAGCATTGGAACCGAATACCCTTACCCACTTCAGTACTTAGTAGAATTCCTGCTTCCTGGTGCCATTTTGTGGGGATCCATTGGCGCAGCTTCATCTTTGAATGACAAGATTCCATATGCCAAATTGTCATTGTCTTACTCAAAGCACATTCCATGGAAGCCCTGTGGATGGTGACCATTAAAATATACTTCCCTCTGAAGCTGTTTGGGAGACCTTTGTCCCCAAACATTTTAGACAAGGTCCAGAGCATCTCACTAGTTCAATTTCCTCAAATCTCACTTGACCAGGCCTCCCACAGCATAGGCATTTAGAGCTTAGGAGACACTGAATTAAACAGTGGCTTGTCAGGGATGGCGAGAATCTCACCTCCTGATGGAGAGGTGGTGTTTGCCTACAATTCTTCCCTTGCTTGAAGCTGCCTCCCAAAACCACAGGGGCTGTTCTGCCTAGGTTGTCTTTTGTAGCAAGAAATTTAAAGAGGAAGAAGAAATTTAAATGAGGCCAATAATGCTGTCTCTCTCTTACACACAGATGGAAGAAACTGATATTCTCTCCCTGGCAAAAGATCAAAATGTCCCCTTTGAATTGAACTGTAAATACTGAATTCTCAACAATTATTCTCTGCAGCAGTTGTAAAAAAAAAATTCAGCAAATTGCAGCTGGTTGGTCTTTCACCCAAAACGCATTCCCCTTTCCATCAGCAAGACTTGCTCTCCCTACCTGGCATGCACGTCCTAACACCAAATCCCTTCAGCAAAATCATTCCGCGTGACCATGCAGCCAGAGCCAAGGGCAGCTTGGGCGAACAGCATAAACGCCCGGCTCCTCTCTGAGCTTTAGCTCTGCACATAAGCTGTTTGAGAAAGTCAGAGTTGGAAATTGTTTCAGAGACCTGGCAAGGCTTTTAAAGCATGATAACCATCACACTTTACTCTTCTCTGAAAGGTTAGTTTAATCGTAGATCACAAAAAAATTGGTTTCCACAAATGCATAATGGTTCATCTATGTCACACTCGCACTAAATGGTTTTTTAAATGGAGCTGAAATTATTTTGATGTGTACACAGTCCCAGATTTCTATACAACCTTTTTTAACCAGCCCATCAGGAGTCTTGCCTCTAAAGCCTCATTAATAATTCAGATGTGCTGATGACTTTAAAAGATCTATGGAATTGAAGCTTAGAGAAAAAAAAAAACCTCCTCTTGACAAAAAGATAAATGAATGTAGAAAGAAGCTGTAGGAGGCTGGCAAGCTGTAGATCATCTCAGAACAGATTGTAACTTTATCATTCTGTCAGGGGGAATAATTTAAAGCACTTAATCAGTTAGCTTCGCTGTGAGGATGTAGCATTATGAATTCCTATCGTCCAATCTGTTCAAATCAAAGTGAACGTAATTATAATAGGTAGGAGAGCCAGAGCAGGAGGGATCATGGGGAGAACCATGCAAGAGGTAGCAAGTATCCTGAGGGCTAAACTGAGCTGCTGAACCTCCTTTAGGCTTTTCCCAGTCATACCCTAGCCCCAGAGGCAGTCATGTTGAGGAGCAAGGGCATTGGAAATGGCACTCATACAGACCAAGAAGGAAAAAGTGGAGTGATCATGAGTTAATCACAGATGCTTAATTTATAAGCACACACACACACACACACACACACACACACACACACACACACACACACACACAGCTGGGCAATCATTTTAACAGGTAGGTCCACATCCAGACACAAGGCAGATGTAAATTGTTCCATAAGCAATAAAAACGGAAGCCAGAGGGACCATTGTCTCTAGAGCAGTGAATGAGCTGGAAAGCTGCTTCCCTTCCTCTCTCCTTTCCCTCTGCCACTGTAAGGAAGCCTATGCTCCCTATCTGTGCACATGGCCAAGTTTTCAGACAATTTCAGTCCTAGAAAGGGGCCTAGATTAGAGTTAAACTCAGTAAAACATCACAATCCAGCTAAGAGGCAGGTCCTCTGCATAGACCTCCCCCTCCTCCAAAGGCCCTGACTCAGCAGTCTGTCTCATCCATTTCTGTAGTTAGGCTGGAAAGGAAAGTGGCAAGCCCCCACCAGCTCTCTGCTGACAGCTTGGGTTATTATAGTCAGCAGAGACACTGCCACCTGGAATGCTTTCCATGACTTCATACCCACAGACTTCTCTTTCTTTAAATAAAAGCCATTTCAAAATTCCCTTTTAGAGCAGTTTCCTATTCTTATTTTCAATCTCATTGGCCAACAAATTCTATGGGATTCCCTTAAGGACCCCCCAAGACCATCAGAGTGATTCAGACAAGACAGAAGTGGTACAGTTGACATCTGCCTTTGAGTCTGTTTGTTGTATCAAAGCCAAGAACAGGCTGGGAAGAGGAGAAGCTGGGGAAGATTCGGCACTGGTTGTTCTGCAGTAGGGATGATGTCCATCTCCTCCAACTTAGTCTTTGCGGTTGGCCTACTTCTAGCATCTCCCAGTCTCAATAGCACATCCATTTTTTTCTTCACTTGCTCCAGGAAAGAGGCATGGTTCAGGTTCTGGGGGCTTCTGTACACTGCACTGTCTTAGCAATTACTCACTGTCAGCTTCTATTGATTACCTTTATGCATTTTCAATGAACTTTCCAAAAGCTTAACCTAGGACTAATTAAGCTTCTCATTTCTCCTTCTTGTTCTCTATTCATTTTGCCCTTTAGCAGAAAAGAAATGGTTTACAGATGAACCGGATAATGCCTATCCCAGAAACATTCAAATCAAGCCCATGAGTACCCACATGGCTAACCAGATCAACCAATATAAATCCACAAGCAGCTTGATCCCTCCAATCAGAGAAGTTGAAGATGAATGTTGACTCCCAGGAGACCAGAACTATTTTTTTAAAGCCTGACAAACTTCATAAATGGTGATGTGACTTTTCTTCCTCTTCCATGCCGAATCACTGGTGGAAACACTAGAGTAAGCAAGAATTGCAAGAAAATAAAGTAGACAGATCTTTCTCTTTGCCTTGAATATTGCTTCCATGTATTTTGGAAAACAAAATGATTTCATTTATAAATGAACATACTAAAATAGTCATGTATAGCTTCTAGCATTTTAAATTATTTTTATTTATTAGAAAGAAAATATATTTTTTCTTTTCTTTTTTTTTTTCATTGCCAGATATCTTCCCATATATCACAGCAATGTAAAAATCAAAATGAGTAAGTGGCCAGATTCCTTAATGTGTATTCTCTCCTTTCTCTCTTTTTCTTTGAGGAGAATGATGGTCACCACCCTGACTTGTAATTAAGGAAAATTGATTACAAAAAGAATTTTAAGGTAGTCAACAATGCACACCCATGTTTTAGTAACTCAAAAGAAAAGTCAAAAGAGCAGAGATGAATATTTGCCTCTCCCCTGGATGGGTGTGTGTTTTGATCTGGATTGACACCAGCTCTTAACAAATCAAACTTATTTATCTTCACAGTTGAAAGTCAGTTCTTTGTAGTTTACGTTTTCATCCAGCATTTCTTATCCTTGTTCATATATTTAGAGGAAAGAGCTTCTTGCAGCTTTTTCTGCAGTTGCCAGATCAGGTTTAAGCAGCCACCTCAAGCTATGGGGAAGGGTTATAGGCACACCTAGGATGCTGACGTTGTGCACCAAGAGCAGGCTGTGTTTGTTGTTCTCATGGTGGGGCCTCTTCCAAGCTCTTCTGCTCCCCATTTCATACTTCTAAATCACCCAAGCAAGTTATGTCAACTGTGGGAGGATCTGGTGAATTCTCTTCCCCATTCAGAGCTATTAGTCTGGAAGTTTGTGAATGTCAGAGTTTTACCTGACACTGGAACCTAAGAAGTACTCATGCTTAGCATGAAGTATTTGTTTAAATGTCAGACAATGTCCACTGTCGAGGAGATGACTTTAGCTCAGATTTTCATTTGCTGGATTTCCTTGGTTGAATTGCTGGAACAAAACATTCAAACTTGCTAAAAATATTTACAAAACCAATACCAACCAAAAGGAAAGGAAGTCATGCTCTTAACATAGACTGTTAGAAAAAGGCCTTTGAAAAATTACCAGCAATGAAATAAAATGTATCAGCCACTTCCGCCTGTGGTCAAAAGATTTTCCTAGCCATCAGATGCAATTGTGATGTCTGAGCTCTGCTCTTGCATGCATGCCCAGTGTATAGTCACTCAACAGCTATTTCTTTCCAGTGACTCAGAAAGTCTTTCACCTTCAGAGTGATCAACCTCTGATATGATCATCAGGGTCTCTGGAGAAGCATGGGCGTGACTGTGATTTCTATTTCCTTAAAAATGTAAAATGTGGACACTTTCTGGATCTAACCAAAATAGCCCCTCAAGTCCCATGACACCTCCTCCATTAACGTTTTAGATGACCATGACTCTGTGGTACCTAGTTATGGTAGTACAAATCAGATCAGAGCAAAGCAATGTGATCACCATGAAAACATATGTCCACTGAGGACTCCAATACCAGTGTAGGCCAAATGAGCTTCCACCTCTGTCCACTCCCTGCAGAGCCAATGTAGCTGTGCTTCCCCCTCGTAGGCATTGTCCTGCAGTGACGCGTCGGACCGTGGTTACTCTGTTGTCACATTTTGTAGAATTAGCTCTATAAAAGTATTGTGAATATAATGTGTGTCCAATTGGATTGTTAACACAAAAATATTTATAATCAATCACTAGTCTACTCAGGCTAAAATGACGTCAGCAGTCAATATTCAGGCTTATAAACATTTCTTGGTTTCCAACAGAACTCAAATGTGTTGGTGGGGAGAATCCACTGCCAGGGTATTGACAGCATTCCTGAAAGCTAAGACTTCCTTTAATATCATGATTTTGCACTGGGGTTACCTAAGTACATTCATGTCAGTCCACGCTCTTCTTTCCTTCCTGAACCATAGTAGGCTCTTCTTCACACTCATTCCTACTAACCCCCCCTAAATTTGTCTTAGTTCTTTGATCTCCCATGGCAACCAACATTATTTACCTACATAATCTTCCATTAGAAGAACAACAGTCTCAACATCCTCCATGCAAGGCAGGAAGCGGAAGCCTAACTCCATCCCCATTTCCCAAGATAGCTAGAGATTTAAATAGAAACCGGTTTCTTAACCACCATGGCTACAATGATAGTTTCCTATAGTAAGGGACTCCCTCAGTTCACCAAGCAGTCTTCAAGACCCCAGATAACAAATCTATTTTCTTCAAAGGTTGAGCAATAAAGGAAGAACAAATCAAGCACCATCCTAAGGTGACATGAGAAATGACCTGGTGGTGGCACCTTTGGCAAAAACTCAAGGCCAAGCAATTGAAATATAAATAACATTTGTTAAAAATAACTGGAAGGCTCAAGGCATCTCCCAAAGTTCCCAATTTGTTTCTATTTGTTGAGTTCTGAGTCCTCTGAAGGGTAAAAAAAAAACCTGACTTTCCAACCACATTCACTTTAGGCCAATGGTGGTCTTCTTTGGAATATTCCACAATAGAAAGCTCTGCTCTCTAGTCTCTGTTTAGGATTCCAGAAAAGTCATCTTGGCAAATTAATGATGCTTGAGTGCTTTGGGACTCAGGCCGTTTGTAAAAACATAAACTATCTGTGTCTGAGTACATCGTTGCCCTCACCATCCTTCTCATGGAAGCAATGTGCTTTTGTTTAAGCAATTATATTTCAGAAGATCCTCCTCTGCTGTGGCACATAGAATGCATTCACCAAAGGTGTTTTATGTTTAAGACTGATTGTGACAGAGTAACCTGGACACACAGCCTTCCTCCCACAAAGTTCTATTTTGGTTTTGTTCCTTTGATTTTTTTTTAAGTGATGGAAGACTTTAAGCACAGAATTGGAGTCGTTTCCATTGAGTTGAAGTGGAGAGTGAAAAATGTATGAGATTAGGGATATTTTGAATGGAAAACCAAAACTGCCCCAAGTGTGCCTGATTTGGAGGTTCAAGAGCATCCAGACACAATTAGCTCTTAACTATGAAAATGTTCTTTAGATCCTCCAAGTCTCAGTGGCTTAAATCACTGAGGGTGATTCCTTGAGATGGCTAAGGTCTCTTTCAGACCGACTAAGACAATAATAGCCTTGCCTCAGCCAAGCCTTTGGAGACAATCTTTTCCGGAGCTGTAATCGTGGCTCTTCTGGCCATGTCACCCGTGTAGCCCTTCTGAGCTGAACCCAGCATCCACTTTCTGCTCTGGACAAGGAAGAGTCGGGTTTGTTCCTGTGCTTTTCAGCTTGGAAGCGCTTAGATCTGAGATGCTAAGGTTTGCAGTCAGCTTCACCTCCATCACTGATGAGCTGGCTCGGTTAGTCTAGGTTTCTCTTTACAACCTTGCTCCCCACCATCCCTGTCTCTTAGTGCAGCACAGTTTTGGCTAGTCTCTTCATCTCTAGCCCACCTCTCCAATAGTATGTAGAGAGAGTCTGGACACCTCTCCTCTCCTGCTGTTATTCCCATTAATGTCCCCCCCACATCTGCTTTCTCATTTCATTTCCAGTTTGGTTTGGTTTGCTTTCACTGATTCATGGTCTTTTGCTACTTCCATTCATAAGTGTAACCATGACCTGTCATGTTCATCATCAAGGAGAATCTTATTGAAAGAAACATAGAAAGAGGTAGAAAAGCTCAAAGGAAAACAGCATTGACTAAATGGCAGGATATCATCTTGACTACCAAGAGATCATACAAATTCATGGAAGACTGAGTTCCAACTCCAGATCTGCTCATTTTTTATTTTATTCATATTTTCTGCCTTTGAGAGAGTGGTCAAGTCACGGACACAGCGGCCCTTACTACTCAGGGCTCGACCCATCAGTTTTCAAAACTTAGAGGAACTGAGAAATTACGTTGAACTTTTCTACTGTGTTCCTTTCTGCCCCTGCTGTCTATCCCGTGTTCTTAACAGGTGTTTTCAGTTATAAAACAGAATAATTTCTCACTTAAATCCCATGGTTAGTTAATACAACGAGGAGCTCCTTTGGAATTCTTTTTTTAAAGAACATTGGTTTAGAGAGTGAAAGTCACTGAGCGGTCTGAACAGCGATGGGCCGAGATGGCTGTGCTCTTCAGGGTTAAAGCTTTTGAGGTGTTCTGTTCTCTCAGGAAGAGGTAGCCCAGAAATGTAGACTTTCTACCTGAGTGGTAAAGCTGTTTAAGCCAAGTTTATCTTAACTGGTTGTTGCCCATGCACTGCAGGCTATTAATAATTACAAGATTACCATTAAAATACGGCAATGCAGAGGACATTTTAAATTTTATTTTCCAATACCCATGAAAGAGTGATTTAAAAAAATATTTAAAAAGGGACCTATGTGACCAAAGGCCTTTAGCCCTATACTAGTTAGGAGCTCCCCAATATCCCAGTCTCACACGGCTTTATGGGGAAATAATTCTCATTTACACTCTTTGTTCTAGACCATTCTTTTTCAACTATGCTTTTGAGGATAACAATGGGCCTGAAAGGGGGTAACTCAGGATGTACATCAAAAAGTTACAGAGAAGAACAAAAAAAGAGATAGGAGCCCTGGCAAGATGTGGTGCTGAGGATGGAAAAGAAGAGGTTCCCTTGAACCACAAATGGGAAACATGATAGGCACCCAATCTTGGATGAACAGTGGAGGCTGTCCAATAGAAAACAGGTGGTTTGACTGGAGGCACAAGGATCCTGAGGATTTTCCAATGAGAAGGAGCTTCAGGGGTTATAATGCACTGATACCAAGGTGGTTTTGATATATGAGTAACTTACCTTTGGTAATAAGTCTGTGTCCACAAGCTGAGAAAAAAACTATGTCAACACTTCATGGACAAAGATAGAAAGTAGGTGGTTGAAGAGCCACATTAAAAAGTGGGACATTGATTTAGAAAGTTGGAGAGAGTCACTGAAAGGTCTGAACAAAGAGTGATGGGAAGCGGTGACTGTGCCCTTTTGGGGTTGAAGCTTTTGAGATGGCCAGTTCTTTTTGGAAGGTATCACAGAGATGTAGGCTTTCTAGCAGCAAATTCTCTCAGCAGTGTGAAGTCTTCTGGGTTGCACTCAACAGCAGTTCATCAAGCAGAACGCCTGCCTTCCTGCATTTTCTCCCTGCCAGGCATACAACGTCCCTGCAGTCAATTACTACCTTCTCAGTTGTAGATCCACCACATGGATTAAAGAGAAGGAATAGATTTTCAGATTGTTTCAACAAAACCTGCTGGCTATACTATTTTACAGACATTAATGTAATAAGAACACCCAGTAGACTGCCAACAAATCATCGAATAATCAAGAATGCAGGCCTTCCGACTTCCAACATTATGAAAGCATTTGGTCAGGTGATCTGGCAACTTGGAACTAGTAGACAGCACCAGCATATGCTTTTTAGAGGAATGGACTAGGTTGGAGGAATGAGTATGACGCAGTCTTCCTTGCAGTAAGCCTAAAAGCAAGCCCTAAAGGGTCAGCAGAGAAAGAGTAAGCATGTATACCACACTGTCTTCCCATGGAGCAGGAGTAGAAGGAGCAAACAGTGTAATGGAATGAAGTGGTAAGTCAAGCTTTGTAGAATAGGTGGGATTTCAGAGTTAGGTAAGCTGAGGGGCAACATCCCAGCTCATCTGGGAATATGGATGGATTTCATGACTTTATCAAGGAGTCCCTGTGCACTTGTTGCTGGACAGCTTGTATCTCTCCTTGGGAACAGAAGACACACCATTCACAACAGGCATTCAATAAAGACTTTTTAAAATAAATGTGGTGTGCATAATGAATAAATATTATGGATTGTAACAGCTGCGGAAGTTTGAGTTGGGCTCTAGGGCTGTCTATGAGTGACAGATTCTTTGTAAAGGAAATGCTTACTGCAGACCCCAAGGACAGGGCAATGCAGAAGGACAGAGAAGAAGAGGAGACAATAAGAATGTGAAGCAAGAACTCAGGCAGCTGAGAAATAGACTGCTGTCTTCCTGATACAAAGAAGTAGAGAGAACCTTTCCCACTAGAAAGTTGTCCTGGGCTGAGGATGCAAGCAGAGTTGAGAAGATGCTTTGGGAAGGCTTGGCCCTATGGAAGCCCTGCCCTGCCACTCACACACCAGATACTTATAAAGGGAGAAGCCTGGTTGAGTTCAATAAAGGAGAAAGCATAGGTTTGGATGATGGGTAAGTAGATCTGTCTGGGGGGCTATGACCAAGTTTTCAGGGGCTCAGAAGTGCAAGCCAAGCTGATGTGATTAGAACAGATCTATTCAGTCCTGGGAGAATGGGAAACAGAAAGGGATTTGAAGATAGAAAGAGGCATCCATGAGGGTTGAGATGAAGGGTATCTGAACTTGTGACTCAGAAGTAATGAGGCAGACTGGAAGGACCAATTTCCCCCTTGTCTTTTTCTCCAGTGGTTGCCCGGTGGACTGTACTGGGTAGGAAACTAACAGTCTACTTAGTGTCATGTTGATCACCATGGAAATGAAGGATATACAAGACACTAGGTCATCAGCAAGTCTTCTGAAGTACCCACAGAAAGAGGGGTCTTGAGGTGATCTCTCCTTTTGTCCATTCATGTCACCCCATTGCTCTTCATCCCTCATGCATAGCACACCCAGACCTCTCTAGCTCCGAGAGTTTCAGTGCACAAAATGCTAAAGTCACCTTGCTCTGATGGCTTTTCTGGACCAGGGTATACAGTGGAGCTTCTTGCCCAGGTGAAAACTGATCTCATTTCTAGGTAGAATGTTAAAATGAAAAGCTTTTTCCCCTGGCATATCCCCTGAGGCACTTCTGTGTTTCTTCTCGTTCTCCAAAGCTGATCCCCAAAGCTTTCCAGGACCTGTCTTAGGAAACAGGACCAGTTCTGTTGTTTAGAGTCTTGGATGTAAATGTACACACACATCACACATGCCTGCCAAAGCAACCCAGAGCTTCCTGCCCTTGGGATCCAGGGTCAGTTTGAGGATTTAGTCATCAGGGAAGGGAGCCCCTACAATAGACAGATCAAGACACAGGTCTACACTAAGCCAGAGCCTTTCCCACCCCAATACCTCAGTTCTTCTCTTCCTTCCGCTCTGTACTCATTGGACCAAACAGAACTGCAACATTTCACATAGAAACCCAGATCTGCCCGGAAATCCTAATTAAAAACCTTCCATTCCCAGGTGGTACAATCACATCCTGCCTAAAGTGTCTGGCTCACATCCCACCATGCAGATGCTGGAAAGAGACTATTTCCCCCACTTAACACCAAAACCTTCATTTGGGATTTCTTCAGGGGACAAAGGAAAAAAAATCCAATTCAGAGGTACACATTTGCAGAGGTCAGCCTACAACATGTTCATTAAGGGAAAAGAGCGTGGTTTCTTCATCTGTCTTTCACACACTGATTGCTGGCATGGTGACTGTGGCTATGATGAATTATGTGACCAGACAGGAACTGGAGAAGAGAATAAATGCTGGTGCTCTGAAATGACCTACCCAACTCTGTCATCTGTGACAGCCAGTGATAACTCTCTTGTCTTGTAAAAAGGGTTTGTACATAACTTGTACATGGTTTCATTTTGTATTTTTCGCAGATTAAAAATTTATGTATTTGTGTTCTAAAACAAGGAGTGTTTCTTGTGTCTTTGTAACTATCACATGAGGGTGTGGGGAGGGCTGGCAACATTCCTCTATGACCCCCTCCCCGCTGTGAAGGTGAAGGTAAAATTGTGGACCAGCAGCAGCCATTAACTTGCCTCTTCAGTTGCAAGTGTGAGCAGGGTGCTGCCCAACACTGCCATGGGCAGTGCTGGGGAGGGATGGCTGCTAGTGTCAGGAAAAGCTCAGAGTCCTACAAGGCCACTCTGGACTAGCAGATCACATGCTGCTACAGATAGCTCCAGAATATAGGGCTCCGAAGACACGAGCTATGTTCCATAGACCCTTGAGATGTACACATGGGCTCACTGCTGCCGCCTGTTCTCTAGCTTGCTGTCTGTATAAAAAAGCAAAGTCTCCCTGGCTTTAACTCATCAACACCTAGGGGTTGAAGCTGAAGGGGTGGGTCTTCTTGTTCCCCAGGGCCATAGCCGAAACTTCGTTTCCAAGTCAATAACATCTAATAACAATACTGCGATTTGAGTCCACGCTTGAGATCTTCAGAATCTTGTAAAATGGAATGGGACTCCTCAGTCTAAGACTGACCTTGCTTCTGGGAAAAGAAGAAGCTTGTGAGAGGGTTCCATGTATGCACTGTACAGGGCCTGTTGATAATTAAATCTTTAGAGATAATATCCTTCATAAGCCAAACAATGTTTATACTCCCTTACTGGGGCCTGGTGATGCAACAGTATGTCATATCGTGATTCTGGGTCTCTAGTCTGGGGAAGGATAGAATCAATACATTATCAGGTCACATATTAAAAGTTGATCGGTGGGAGAGAATACAGTATGCCATTGAGAAGACATAAATGCTATGCTTAGCTATTTGAAGAATAATCTAATTGATTGATACTTTGAATAGCAAATCTCTGGGTACCTGTGTCTTTGTCAACTTGACACAGACTGGAGTCATCTGGGAAGAGGGAACCTCAATTGAGAATTGTCTGTAACAGCTTGGCCTGTGGGCATCTCTGTGGAACATTCTCTTGATCAGTGATTGATGTGGGAGGGCCCAGCCCTCAGTGGGAAGTTCCACCCTTGGGCAGGGGCTCCTGGATTATATAAGAAAACAAACTGAGGAAGCCATGCGGGCCGAGCCAGTCACCAGTAAGCAGCACTCCTCAGTGGTCTGTGCTTTAGTTCCTGCCTCCATGTCCCTCCCTTGGTTTCCCTCAATGGTGGACTAACCTGAAAGCTTTAAAAAAAAAAAAAAAGCCCCAATCCTCACCAAATTTGCTTTTGGTCAATGTCTTATCAAAACAAGAGAAGAGAAAGCTGAGACAATACCGAAAACACAAACAGCCCCAATCAGTTCACAGGAGTCCACTGCATATTTACCTGTCAGAATGTGCCAATTCCTCACAGCTCTCTGAGCTCCAGACTCTCAACTTGTCTTCTCAATATTTGCTAACAAATCTGAATGTTGTTGGGGAAATGTAATTGCGGAGCATATGGTCTCCATTAGTTAGGCAAACTCCACTGCCAAGTTCAGCTCCAAGGAAGGAGTCTGCATAAAGGATGAAATATTAGGGACAGATCTATGGTGACAGAGAAGCCAAATGAAAACGATGGGACAGTGAGTTACAAAACAGTAGGCTTGGCCAGAAGGGCACAACGACTGTGGAACGTGTTTTTCCATTTGGTAAGAAGACAAAATATGTGTGAATTTGTACTGAGATCTCGCTGTAGCAAAAAAAATCAAAGGCGACCGTTCACCAAGATCGATCGATATTAACTGCTCCTCAAAGTCAGATGAGATAGGTTCTGCCTGGGAGAAAATCGTAGGGCAAACAGAACAGACAGCTTGCCAAGGGAATAAAGCAAGGGTAAGAGCAAAATGTAAACCTCAGACTTAGAGTTGTTTTGAATGTTGCTGGGGCTCGGCCTTCCAGGAGAGAAACAGGACCTCATGCTTACAGATCTGTCACATTCCGAAAATGTAGGCTAAAAGTCAGAAACACAAAGAATGCAGGATCCAGAAAGGGAGTACAGACAAGGTGAACATGCTCACTATAAATAGGAATTTGTAACTTTTTGTTTTTAAAATGACAAATACTTTCATAATTTCTCTCCAGATCAATACATATAGATTTGCCATTTTACTCAACACAGCAAGTGTGATAGCCAATCTTGGTTGTCAACTTGACACACCTGGGAAAGAGGACCCTCAAGAGGAGTCATCTCCATCAGATTGGCCTGATGGCATGTTTTGAGGGCATTTTCTTAATTGCTCATTAGGGTAGAAAGGCCCAACCTACTATGGGTGGTACCCGCTCTGTGCTGGTCATCCTGGGGGGTATAAGAAAACAGGCTGAGAAGCAGCCAGGGGGAGCCAGTAGTTAACCAGGGTTCTTTGATGATCTGGCTTCCGTTACTCCCTCAAAGATACTGCGGTGGCTTCCTGTCTTGATGCCCATCCTGACAGACTGCAACCTGTAAGCCAAATTCAATCCCCACCTGAAGTTGCTTTTGGAGAGTGTTTTATCACAGCAAACTATGAACGAAGCTGGTACCAGGAGTGTGAGGTTTGTTGTGATGAATCTGACTGTGGATTTTGTGCCTTGGACTTTTGTGTGGGGAAGGTGGAGGATTTGGGAGCTTTAGGCTGGAAAAGTCATTGAGTGCAAAGATCTTCATGAGCTAAAAACAAAATCAATTAATTAATTTTAAAAAGTTCTTAATGAGTTGTTGTGGGAACATGGATGATAAACCAGAATAGGATGGAGAGGAGATGGTAGAGGCCTGGCTTTTGATCCTGGGCTACCAGGGTTGTTTGTGTGAGTATTAAGAATCTGTGGAAGTCAAACCTTTGCTTTAGTGGGACAATGAGTGTTAGTTAGCTGGGGTTGAAGAAAACATCAGCTGTGGTTCATAAGAGACCATCACCATTGAGGAGAACTTTTCTGGGAAGTGTTTGCTTGGAGTCAGCACACAGAAGCTGTGATCTAGAGATGGCCAAGGCTACATCTCAAACTAGAAGCTGAGCTTGGTATGAAACTCCCACATAGTACTGGTTTTGAAAGCATGAAGGGATGGTGAAGAGCCCTTGAGGCATGATCCCATGAGAGGTCAGGAGAGGCCACTGATGAAGGTGCAGCCTTAGCTTCAGTGGAGACCCTAGGACACTGGAGAAGCTAGGGCCATAGGATGACCACCAAGAACAATGACCTTCAGAGCCTATAATACAGCTGGGTGTGGTCTTTAAATTGCATTTGGTTATGGTGTGTGAGCGACAGAGAGCAAACTAGAGCTGGGTGTAGTACTGTACGCTTTTAATCCCAGCACTAGGGAGGCAGAGGCAGGCAGAATTCTGAGTTCGAGGCCAGCCTGGTCTATGTAGTGAGTTCCAGGACAGCCAAATCAAAACAATGAAAGAAAACTAGAACATAACCATTAAAAACAATGAAGTAGTCCATTTAAATTACAATAATAAAACATATCTAGCACTAATATGCTATGTACATAATATATGATATTCTAGAATATACGTGATATTCTACACATCATATATATCATATATATTATATATAACAATATATATAAATCACACACCTTTTAGGACAGTCAGGTTGCTTTCTACTCTTTCTTACCTTCCTGAGTTGTTCTCCTTTTTGATCGACAGGACCACTACTCCCCTGAAGATGGATATGTGGGCAAGTGGGTAGAATCAGGAATAAGGGCGAAGCTAAAATTCCCAAGGACTGTGATCTGTAGACCATAGCTGTTTTGCTGTTCATCCAAACCTAAACAGCTTACCAGAGTGGGGAGATAAGTTATGAAGTGAGAGTGGAGCTGAGGAACTTCAATGGAATGTCTGCATTTTGAAACTTCAAGAACACATTTATACTAAGCAAACAAATACAGGTGCTGTGGGATGTTCTGTATGTCCTGTGGGAGCCCTTCTTGGGTTCTTTGTGGCGTTACCCAGCAGGTTCGTATAGAGGATGATTAGGACCATGGGCCTGAGTGCAGGTGTTTGAGATGGTCTGCACTTGGCTGTGCTGGGGGATGGTCTGTATGTCAAGTTGCTCTGATTGGTTAATAAATAAAACCTGATCGGCCGTGGCTAGGCAGGAAAGATAGGCGGGACTAACAGAGAGGAGAAATAAAAGGACAGAAAGGCAGAAGGAGACGCTGCAGCCGCCGCCATGACCAGAGACACTGCAGCCGCCGCCATGACCAGCAGCATGTGAAGACACCAGTAAGCCACCAGCCACATGGCAAGGTATAGATTTGTAGAAATGGATTACTTTATGATATAGATTTATGGAAATGCGTTACTTTAAGCTATAAGAATAGTTAATAAGAAGCCTGCCACGGCCATGCAGTTTGTAAGCAAAATAAGTCTCTGTGTTTACTTGGTTGGGTCTGAGCGGCTGTGGGACTGGCGGGTGACAGAGATTTGTCCTGACTGTGAGCAAGGCAGGAAAAATCAAGCTACATACAGGCATATAATAAGAGGTTAATTTTTAAAATTCTTAATGTTCTCTATTTTTTTTTATCTGCAGTGGTGTTTTGCCTGCATGTATGTCTGCATGAGGGTGTTAGATCTTGGAGTTACAGACAGTTGTGAGCTGCCATGTGGGTGCTGGAAATTGAACCCGGGTCCTCTGGAAGAATAGTCAGTGCTCTTAACTGCTGAGCCATCTCTCCATCCCCAAGAGGTTAATATTTAAGAAAGATTATTAGATAGAAGGACTAGAAAACATGACACAAAGTATGAGATGGAGCATATAATATAGATGAGAGACATATGCAGGAGACAGGAATATCAGTGGTAGAGGTTCTGAGTTCTAACAATAAAGGGATGGGGGGAGTGTTAACCTTACTAACTTAATTTTTCTTTCCTATAAAAAGACCTATGCTATAAATGTAAAACCTGAAATTAAGCTGCACAAAAGTATCATCAATGGAAATAAGTTAGAATAGTTGGGAGTAAGGAACTATGCAAGTTCATTTTAAC